CTGAGGCAGAGCTGCAGGCCTGTCTCCCCCTCCCCCCCACTCCTCCAGTGGGAGCTCCACTGACCTGGAGCTGCAGTTTCTAAATATCCAGGAATCTGCGAGCTGGTTATCACCCAGCGGGGAGCCTGCAAGTGGCCGGTGGGCGTGTTTAGCCAGGGAAGCCGCCGAACCTGCACAGCAGGGCCCTCTTTCCGTCAAAATGGGCTGGTCAGCACCCCCTGTCTCCCCAGGCCCGGGTGCCGCAGCTTTCGCCTGGAGCCCCTTGCAAGGTCCCCAACACCCAGGGGAGGGTGAAGGCCGTGCCCGCCCCAGGTCACGGGCTCCTTGCAGGAGTGCGGCTCCATGTTGAGCTGGAGGCTTCCTCCACCCCCATCATGGCTTGGGGTGAACTAGAGAAAGCCTTTAAACTATATATATATATATATGTATTTTAATTGATTTCAGAGAGGAAGAGAGAGGGATGGAGAGGTAGGAACATCAATGATGAGAACCATTGATCGGCTGCCTCCTGCACGCCCCACACTGGGGACCGAGCCTGCAACCGGGCATGTGCCCTGACCGGGAATCGAACCTGGGACCCTTCAGTCTGCAGGCCGACGCTCTAACCACTGAGCACACTGGCCAGGGCTGGAGAAGGCCTTTGACTGGCTGCCCTGCTGTGACAGAGGAGCTGGCTGAGACAGGGACCCCTCTGAATGCTGGGGAGGCAGATTCTGTGGGGAGGCCCAAGGAGACCTGGGCTGCGGCCTCTGCCCCAGGTGGGAGGGAGCGCCCGTCTGCCCCAGGGCTCCCCGTGGGAAGGTGCTCTTGGGGTGCACGGCCACCCCAGTGCTGGCTCATTCTGCCCAACAGCACGTGGAGGGACTTGCTCTCGCCCCTCCCTCACTCCAACCACCAGCGCTCCAGTAAGGGCTGTCAATCATCAACACAGCCCCTCCTTGGCCTCAGCCCATTGGCTGAGGGATCGTCACATGACCCAGGCCGACCACTCAAGTTCTTCCCCAGGATTTTAGCCAGTTCGGAACCTGGGACAGGAACCCACTTCTGCCTCCTCTGGGGGGGGGAGGGTGAGTCCCTGGGGACGGGGCTCATGAGCCGCCGGGAGACACACTTCTGCAGAGAGGTCGGGCCGAGCAGATGAGCAGGAACGAGGCTGAGACACCTCCCCCACGGCCGAGCCCCCTGCTGTGAGGGCCCACTCCAAACGGGGTGGGGGGGAGGCCGGCTGCCAGCAGGCCTGATGGGGTCTCTGTTCCCTGATCTGGGGGGACCCCAGGGCCTCCCGACCCAGAGCAGCCGCAGACCCCAGCGGTGCTGTCTGGCTTGCCCTCGTGCTGACGTCCACGCACACCCTGTCCGCACTCCACTGCCTGCCCCACCACGGGGTCTCTTCGTCGCTGTCTTTCCAGCTCCCCTCTTCCCGGGCGGCCATTTTCCCAGCTTCACAGGGTCCCCACGCATCCCACGGGGGCAAGACCCGCACCTTTCATTCACGCCACAGACATTTCCTGAGCACCTACTGTGTGCGGGCGCTGCCCTAAGGGCTGGGGCTGCAGCAGCGGGAGCGTTAGACCCGACGCATCTGGCCAGCAAACGAGGGCCTTTGGCCACTGCGTGCGCCTCACGCACTCAGAAGAAAAGAAAGTGCAACAGGCCCGGCCGGCGAGGCTCAGTGGGTGAGCATCGACCTATGAACCAGGAGGTCAGGGTTCCGTTCCCGTTCCCGGTCAGGGCTCATGCCCGGGTTGCACCTCGACCCCCAGTAGGGGGTGTGCAGGAGGCCACCGATCCATGATTCTCTCTCATCGTTGACGTTTCCCTCCCTCCCCCTCTCCCTTCCTCTCTGAGATCAGTAAAATGTGTGTAGACGTTAGAGAGGGGTGGGGTGAGGGGAGGAAGCCTCCTCCTCTAACAGACTAGCTACGTGCTGGGACCTGTTTTCGCTGCCTGATCTCATATCTAGGGCCTTGGCTTCAAGACCTACGACAAAGAATAACCATCGTTTTATTTCTGACAGTTGCCTGTTACAATCAGCCAGGGCGCCGGCCGGCTGAGCCACCGCAGGTCCCAGGCTCAGCGGCCGTGGCCGGACGGAAGGAAGTCACACCGGACCCAGCGGCACGCAGCTGCGGTGCACACACGAGAGTTTAATCCACAAAACCCGCAGCGGGAACCTCGGTGTCACACGTCACGTCCTGTCCTGTGGCTGCGCTTTCTGTCCTCGGCCTGGAGGCGGAATTTGGAAAAACCGTCGGCCCCGGTGCTTCTGAGACCCGGGGAGGTTCTGGGCAAGCTCTCCTGCGGGGCCGGGGGCACTTGTGTTAGTCCCAGTAAAGGTGCCCCTCCGCCCCTGCCGCAGGCATGGAAGCAGCTGTCCCGGCTCCAGCGGAATGCGATCCTCTCCGCTCTGGCCTTTCTGCTGTGCTGCGGGCTCCTGTCCTACCTCAGCGCGGCCGACCCGTGGACAGGTACCTGCTCCGGGGGCGCCGGGGGCAGCGGAGGGGCCGAGGCGGCTGCAGCTGAAACTGCCCAGGAGCCGTGAAGGGCGGGGAATGGGCACCCCCCCCCAGGTTAAGAGGGGGGTGGCGTCCCCAGCCTCCTGGC